AAAAAACGATGATTAGATATTGAAAACAAAAAAAAAAACCATACATAGAAAATTCTATACAAAAAATCGCTTAGCTAGATGGACAAGGTCAAACCCGTCTTATCACGAGTGTGTGAGTGTGACAGAAATTCGTCAATTACAAAACGGCTTCCGTCTTAATTACTTCTCTAAATTCTGATTAGAATTAGAAAAACAACCATCACCGCCACTCCCTCCATAATTCATGGGGCACACATATTAATCCAAGGACAGGCAGAGACACGAAATTGCTCTCAGAGAGAGCATTCATGCGCTAGTTTGCCTGATGCTGCATTATTCGTAATTCTTTTAATGCGAGGAATTCGTTGTGCGTCGTATTTATGTGTCGTCGTACTACGTCGTTACTTAGTTCCTATTTCAGAATTATTGTTCCTATTATTATTACTGTTGTTGTTGTTCTCTAGACATCAATTACACATCTTGCAACAATTCCATTTGCAACCTTGCCAATTATTTGTGGCTTCCTCCTTACAGTTAATCGAGAAAGTTAAAGCAATTAGCCGAATGAATACCGCCCACTAAGTTTTGAGGGTAGAAATTTTTTTTTTGAATTTTTATACCCTTCACCCACACTGTGGTTCATCAGGGTATTATGTGTTTCGGCATATGTTTGTAACATACAAAAGGGATCGATATAGACACATGGTTTCTTTTGAGAATATACATAGAATCACGTTATGCATGTCCGTCCGTCTGTCCATGTTAAATTGTAAACAAAGTACAGCTCGCATTTATGATGCGAATCGGATGAAATTTGACACAGCTCATTTATTTGATCCAAGGACCCAATTGAACCCAATTGAAATTGGGAAAAATTGGTTCAGATTTAGATACAGCTCCCATTTTCGTCCGAATTTATGTAAATGGTGCACTAAAGTCCCTAAATATCCTTCGATTTGCACGCAATTTGGCATAGAGTACTAAATTAAGTCTAGAATGATGTGTGCTAAGTTTCGTGAAAATCGGATGAGGTCTAGATATGGCTCCCATCAGGGACGTACGCAGGGGGGCGGGCCGGAGGGCCCGGGCCCCCCCGAAATGAATTTTTTTCACAGTAAATTTATGTTCGCAACAGCGAATTTTTTCATATTGTACTACCGGGCCCCCCCCGAAATGAAATCCTGAGTACGTTGCTGGCTCCCATATATATTTTCGTCCGATTTTAGTAAATTTTATGTATTTTTCGATTTGTACAAAATTCGGTATAACGCACAGAATTGAGTCTAGAATTATGTGTGTAAAGTTTCCTGAAAATCGGTTCAGATTTAGATATAGTTCCCATCAGGGACGTAACCAGGGGGCGGCCCTAGCCCCCCGAAATGATTTTTTTTCACAGTAAATTTATGTTTGCAACAGCGAAGTTTTTCATTTTGTACTACCGGGCCCCCCCTGAAATTAAATCCTGTGTACGTTGCTGGTTCCCATATAACTTTTCGGCCGACTTTATGTAAATGGTGTAAATTTTTTCGTTCGATTTTATGTAAATTGAGCACCAAAGTTACTATATCGTTCGATTAGCACGAAATCTGGCAGAGCGTACTAAATTGACCCTGGAATGTTATGTGTTGAATCTCGTGAAAATCGGATCAGATTTAGATATAGCTCCCATATATATTTTCGTCCGATTTTATGAAAATTGAGTACCTAAGCCCCTATATATCATTCGATTTGCACGAAATTTGGCATAGCGTACTGAATTGAGTCTAGAATTATGTATGTAAAGTTTCCGGAAAATCGGTTCCAATTTAGATGTTGCTCCCATATATATTTTCGTCGGATTTTATGTAAATGTTGTACCAAAGCCCCTATATATCGTTGGATTTGCACGAAATTTGGCATAGCGTACTCATTTGAGTCTAGAATTATGTATGTAAAGTTTCCGGAAAATCGGTTCAGATTTAGATATAGCTGCCATATATATTTTCGTACGATTTTATGTAAATGGTGTACCTAAGCCCCTATATATCTTTTGATTTGCACGAAATTTGGCACAGTGTACTGAATTGAGTCTGGAATGATGTGTGTTGAGTTCCGTGAAAATCGGTTATAATTTAGATATAGCTCCCATATATTTTTTCGTCCGTCACGAAATTTGGCATAGTGGTGAAGGGTATCATATAGTCGGCCCAGTCCGACTTTACTACTTTCCTTACTCGTTAATTTTTTTCTTTTATTTTTATTACCCTCTCCATTCACATTTTCGTTGTTTGTCTGTCTGACTGTCAACCGGCTAATCTGTCAAACTGAAGTGTCACTCTCGTGGTAGATAATTTGGAAAATAAATATTTGATTTTCTTCGAAGCACGTTTTGTTGTTGTGGTTTTTTCTCATGTGCTATACTGAAGCTGATGCCAAACCCAGAATGGCAAAAAAAACCCCTTCCTCCTCACTACGACTTATTTGCAAATTTGTCACAATATAGACGAAGAAGCAGAAAAAATAGAAAAAAGGCAAACAGCAAAGCTCATTTCAAATTCAAACATTTTATGCTGTCGTCTGATGAATTTTTTTTTTTGTTATTTTATTTTTTTAGCATTTGACAATGTTAAACAAATTTTAACATAGAATAAAATAACAACAACATCCACATTTGATAATACTAATAATGAAATTTACATAAACAAATGGCAAACAAAAAAAAAAAAAAAAACTAAGACATCATCGGTGGGGCCACATTCGCCATGTCTATAAATGCGTGCGAAGCCCATATATCCGCCAAGCAAATACACGATAATCACACTCAAGTTTAAATTATTAAAAATATATTTTATACAATATCCGAATAATTTTTTCTAACACTGTCAAACAAAATCGGGGTCATGGTGTAAAAATTCCTTTTGGGAATGAAAGCCAAAAACCCAGAAGGAAAAATTTACCATAGGTCAATGTTGGCGTGATCATTATTTTTTTGCTGTCGACCCTATTACACTTTAAGACAGAATTGGAGTCATGGTCTGGGGGGTGAACAAATTCCCATTAAAAATTAAAGACTTGCCTGAGTCTATATAAAAACCCCCTGAAGAAAAAGTTCGCAGATATGCCGTAGTATTTTTTTTTTTTTGCTGACAACCCTATTGTACTTGAAGTGATAGCCTCATATCTTGATTTGTCGCCATTAAATGTATTTAAATTTTTGAGATAAGGAATCGGTTATCAAAAATTTTCGAACCGGATATTCTGATAATAAAACCGGTTTTAATACCTTATTTATGAAGCTAATAAACAAACGCGTCCTAATTTTATTGAATCGGATTATTTGGTGAAAGAAAATACCGGTTCTCTAAATTTTTCAACCGGATATTCGGGTAATAAAACCGGTTTTAGTGCCTTACAGACATACAATTAGAAAACTAATAAACAAACGCGATAAATTTAATAAATCGTACTATTATCGGTTTTATTATCATCTGAATATCCGGTTCAAAAAATTTAGAAAACCGTAAAATCTAATGAGGAAGTTTTTTGTAGAACATTTCATCTTTCGAACTCGATTCCTTGTGTGTCCTTTTCGTCCTTAATTTAAGGCTAAATAACCCAAAAAAAAAACTAATTTCAAGGAAGAAAGAACTGAGTTTCAAAAATTTTTGAACCGAAAATTCGAGTAATAAAACCGATTTTAATACCATTAGAAAGCTAAAAGAACAAACGCTCTAAATTTAGTGAACCGGTCTATTTCGAGGAAGAAAGAACCGGTTCTCTAAATTTTTGAACCGAATATTTGGGTAATAAAACCGGGTTTAATACATGACATTAAAAGCTAAGAAACAAACGCTGTAAATTTATTGAACCGGACTATTTCGAGGAAAAAAGAACCGAATGTCCCAAAATATTTGAACCTGATATTCGGATAAGTTTTTCCTATAGAAAAAAAAAAAATATCTTGACAATTGTTTCAAATAGAAAAAATTATCCGAATAATTTCTTCCTATAGAAAAAATGTATTTCTTTCTATAGAACAAATTATCCGAATAATTGTTTCCTATTGATGGATTTATCCGGATAATGTTTATCCGGATAATGTTTTGCTATAGAAAAATATATTTTCCTATAAAAAAATTTATCCTCATAATTTTTTTCCTATAGAAAAATGTTTTCCTTTAGAAAAATTTATGCGGATAATTTTTTCCTAAAGGTGAATGATGATTCGATTTATGCGGATAATTTTTTACAATAGAAAATTTTATCCGGATAATTTTTCCTATAGAAAAATTTGTCCGGATAATTTTTTCCTATAAAAAATGTTTCCAGATAATTATAGAAAAATGTATCCGGATAATTTTTTCCTATAACAAATATTATCCAAATAATTTGTTCCAATCGAAAGTTAAGAAAATATCCGGATCATTTTTTCCTATAGAAAATAATATCCGGATAATTTTTTCCTATAGAAAAATTTATTCCTATAGAATTTTTTCCTATAGAAAAATTTATCCGGATAATTTTTTCCCATAAAAAAATGTATCCTGATAATTTTTTCCTAAAGAAAAATTTATGCGGATAATTTTTTCCTATAGGAAAATGTTTTTATTATAGAAAAAATATGCGGATACTTTTTTTCCTATAGAAACATTTATCGGGATAATTTTTTCCTATAGAAAAATTTATCCGGATAATTTTTTCCTATAGAAAATATTATCCGGATATTTTTTTTCCTATAGGAAAATGTTTTTATTATAGAAAAAATATGTGGATCAGGTTTTCCCTTAGAAAAATTTACCCGCACAATTTTCTCGTATAGAAAAATTTATCTGCATAATTTTTTCCTATACAAAAATTATCCACATAATTTTTTCCTCTACAGAATTAATTCGAATAATTATTCCTATAGAAAAATCACCATAATATTTTCTATGGGGTGGGAAATGGTCCACCTTTTCCCCCCTTTTGTTATGTATTTCTCATATTGGTATCTTCCCATTTTCCCATATTTCTTATTATTTTCCTTCTTCTTTAACACTTACCACTCTTAAAAAATCCCAGTCTTGCGGAATAGCGAATATTTTCAAATCCGATATTGATTTGTTTCGTTGACATATTCTCCTCGTACGAGAACAACGAAGAGGCTGTGGTTAATGGGGTGTGCGATGCAGGTGTTGGCGATAATGGTGTGGCCTTGTTATGGTATCCTGCTGTCGGAGCATTATTGGTGGCCGTTGGTGTTGTATTTGTGTTGGTACTGGTGTCCATCGACTTTTCCAAAATATTTAAATGCAGCCCTTCAGGTTTCCGGGTGAAAAAACGTCTTGCCAGGGGGGTGGGTGTTGTGGGGCGGACAAATGATCCTGAGGACAGTGAGGATGTGGTAGATGTCGCTGTTGATGGTGAATGATTGTTCGATGTCGCCGGCATATTGAGGATGTTCAAGGTAATGACATCACTGGTGTTCGCCGCCGCCACCTCATCATTGTCATCGACAAGGGTTTGGGTAGGCTGGGGACTACTGGTGTTGTGGATTTCGGCCATTGTGAATGAAATTTTTTATTTAATCTTTTTTTAATTTTTTCTTTGTGAATTAAAGATTTTTTTTAATTTTTTTATTACACACTAGAAATTAATTGGCACTTTAAAAAAATTAATTTCTTCAAATCAAAAGGCAGCTAAATCATTCATGATGAGCCACTCACTTGCTCACTGCCGTTTCGTTGCTTTGTTTTCATTCATAACACTTTTTTATTGTTGTTGTTTTTTAATTTCTTTTTGTTTTCTTTATTTCACTTAATTATCTTTAATTGTGGAATCACTTGAAAATTATTGAAAGGATTCGAACGTTGTAGACGATCATCATCAAGACGAAGTAGAAGAAGAAGCAGCATTTCAGTGATTATGAGGAGCCCGTCAGGAGTGTAGGGGGAGGGAGGATTGGCCAGGAATTAACTGCCTGCCTGTTTGAATCATACTTCGAAAACAATGACCACGAGGCGAATTTTTACAACAATTCCTTTGTTATTACCACCAACAACAACGACGCAGTGGTGGAATACTTCGATGACGACGACACAACAAGTTCAACCGCCAGTAGTAGTCCGTCCACACATCTACCGCGTGTGTATTTCAATATTTCGTTTTTTTTGTATTCGTTCGCTTGGCGGTTCGCGTTCATTCACCACCGTTGGGTATGGAACAACTGATCGTTGTTGTCTTTTGAATATTTGGTGGATGGCTCACTGACTGACTGACTGGATGGCTGGCTGGTCGGGTTCGTTTGGTTGGTTGATTGTTGAGCTGATAGGTAGGTAGGTTCGCTAGCAGCAGTAGGGATGGCTGAGTGTGTTAGGGATCTGTAAGGAGACAAGGAAAACATAGATAATTTACTTGGTTGTTGTTATTGTTTTTGTAGTGATTTTTTTAAAAATTTTTGGAAAATAAATGAGTCAAAAAAGTAGAAGAGGCCCCCACTAGGTTGTAGAACAACAGCAACAACAATAATGATAATAAAAATAAATAGGATCAAGTAGTATTATTTTCATTAACGTATAAGAGAGTGTGAGAGAGAGTTATGCGTGCAAGAGGAGGCGGCCTCCTACACCAAATTGTGTTACAGATCTACGCTAATAAAAGAGTAAAGTGATTTGCTGATGTTAGAATCTTGAAATGTGTGGGGTGAGGGCGTAGTCCAAATATGTCAGACAGGGCAAGGATTTTAGAAATTCGTACAAGAACGGCACGAAGAGTACCAAATTTATTCGGATAATTTTTATACCCTTCACCACACTGTGGTACAGGGTATTATGTCTTTGTGCATATGTTTGTAACAGCAAAAAGAAACGAGATGGACACCTGGTTCCTTTTGAGAATATGCATAGAATCACCTTCTCAATTGATATATGCATGTCCGCCCGTCCGTCTGTAGATGTTAAATTGTAGACAAAGTACAGGTCGCATTTATGATCCGAATTGAATGAAATTTGCACAGCTCATTTATTTGGCCCAAGGACGAACCCTATTGACATTGAAGAAAATCGGTTCAGATTTAGATATAGCTCCCGTATATAGTTTCGTCCGATTTAATATAAATGAGGCACAAAAGTCCCTATATAGCTTTCGATTTGGACGAAATTTGGCATAGAGTACTGAATTAGGTCCAGAATGATGTGTGCAAAGTTTCGTGAAAATCGGTTCAGATCTAGATATAGCACCCATATATAGTTGTGTCCGATTTTATGTAAATGGTGCACCAAAGTCCCTATATATCATTCGATTTGCACGAAATTTGGCATAGTATACTGAATTGAGTCTAGATTGACGTGTACCAAGTTTCAAGAAAATTGGGTCAGATTTATATATAGCTCCCATATATATTTTCGTCCAATTTAAGGTAAACGGGGCACCAAAGTCCCTATATATTTTTCGATTTGCACGATATTTGGGACAGCGTAATGAATAAGGTCTAGAATTATGTGTGTTAAGTTTCGTGAATATCGGTTCAGATTTATATAGCTCCCATATATATTTCCGTCCGATTTAAGGTAAATGGTGTACCAAAGTCCCTATATATCTTTCGATTTGCACGAAATTTGGCACAACGTGATGAATTAGATGTAGAATGATGTGTGTTAAGTTTCGTGAATATCGGTTCAGATTTATATATAGCTCCCATATATATTTTCGTCCAATTTAAAGTAAACGGTGCACCAAAGTTCCTATATATCTTTCGATTTCCGCGAAATTTTGCACAGTGTACCTGAATTGATTCTACAATGACGTGTGTAAAGTTTCAAGAAAATCGGTTCAGATTTATATATAGTTCCCATATATAGATTTGTCCGATTTAAGGTAAATGGGACACCAAAGACCCTATATATATTTCGATTTGAACGAAATTTGGCATAGGATACTGAATTGAGTCTAGAATGACGTGTTCCAAGTTTCGAGAAAATCGGGTCAGATTTATATATAGCTCCCATATACATTTTCGTCCGATTTAAGGTAAATGGAGCTCTAAAGTCCCTATATATCATTCGATTTGCACGAAATTTTGCATAGCGTACTGAATTATGTGTAGAAAGGTGTGTGCTAAGATTCGTGAAAATCGGTTCTGATTTAGATATAGCTCCCATATATATTTTCTTCCGATTTAATGTAAATGGTGGACCAAAGACCCTATATATTCATCGATTTGCACGAAATTTGGTATAGCGTACTGAATTGAGTCTAGAATGATGTGGGCTAAGTTTCGTGAAGATCCGTTCAGATTTAGATATAGCTCCCATATATATTTTCGTCCATTTTAAGGTAAACGGGGCACCAAAGTCCTTATATATCTTTCGATTTCCACGAAACTTTGCAAAGTGTACTGAATTGATTCTACAATGACGTGTGTACAGTTTCAAGAAAATCGGTTCAGATTTATATATAGTTTCCATATATCGATTTGTCCGATTTAAGGTAAATGGGGCACTAAAGTCCCTATATATTTCAATTTGCACGAAATTTGGCATAGGATACTTAATTGACTCTACAATGACGTGTTCCAAGTTTCGAGAAAATCGGGTCAGATTTATATAGCTTCCATATACATTTTCGTCCGATATAAGGAGCTAAATGGAGCACTAATGTCCCTATATATCATTCGATTTGCACGAAATTTTGCACAGCGTACTGAATTATGAGTAGAATGATGTGTGTTAAGTTTCATGAAAATCGGTTCAGATTTAGATATAGCTCCCATATATACAATTTGAATGTTGAGCCGATAGAGACGGAACCGTGAAATTTGGAATTAGAATTAATGTTGGGATGTAAAATTGGTGTATGTAGGTAGCTTTTGAAAATTCCTACAAATGTGTACTAAATGGTACTAAATTTGGTACAGTTTGGATTTGGGTGAAGCGATAGGGCTAGTATCGTTGAATTGGGAAATATAATTTTCGTTGTATTGTTGTTGTAGGTAATTGTGGAAATTCGTAGTAATGTATACTAAATTGTACTAAATTTGATACAATTTGAATTTGGAGGAATACATGGAGCTGGAATAACATTATATTCCGAGTGTAGGATTACGATATGTAAATAGTTTTGGAAATGTATACTTATGTGTACGAAAAGTACTAAAGTGTGCAATATTGGGTACAAGTTGGATTTGAATGAATCGAAAGAGCTGGAACACTGACATTTGGAAATAGCATTACTAATGCATTGTGGAATTACGGTATGTAGGCAGTTTTGGAAATTTGTACTTACTAAATGGTACTAAATTTGGTACAATTTAAATTTTGGTTGGACCGGTAGAGCTAGAATACTTAAATTTTGGAGTTAGGATCACTGTTTGGATGTACGATTGCGGTATTTAAGAAGTTTTGGAAATCCGTACTTATGAATACTAAATAGAACTAACTTTGGTACAATTTGAATTTTGGGTGAACCGATAGGGCTGAAAAATGCAAAAACCTAAATTACAATAACAATTTGGCTGAAAAGTATCCCTAAACTACCCAATATACCGAAGTTTGGAAGGCACTGTTATATCGACGGTACCCTAAAACATTTACCAAAATTGATAATTTCTGGTAAGAAAATATATTAGCCAATAAGATCCCAAAATACCAATTTGTAGCCAATTCGGTTAAAAAACTTGACCCAAAATCGACCAGTATATTGAGGAGTACCGTTATATAGGAGCTACCTTAAAAAGTGGACCAAAATTTATCATTTTTGACAGGGAGATTTTCTATCCAAGGAGTATACAATATACTAAATTACAGAGAATTAGAATGAATAACTTCCCTATACTCCCCAAAATTCCGAATAATGGAGGTTGCAGTTATGTTGAAACTACTCGAAAAGTCGACCTATTTCTAAATTCCCAAAAATTTGTTTAAAAAGCGTGCCCAAACTTCCTAAAATGCAGACATTATATGCGGGAAACTCATAATTTCGTATAGAAAAATCATTGTAGGCAATGAGAACCCAAAATACCATATGCCTATTAGAGATCTTCACTTATTTTTCATTACGATTTCTTTATACAATTTTACTAGAAGTTACACGCTTTCAAATACTTTTTATTTGACTTCAATCCGTTGATTTTCAACAAAGTTACAGGCATTTGAATTTCCCTCTTCGTATCACATCACCACACATTCGTATCACATTTCACCATTCGGACACCTCTTTCCATTATAGGTCTCCCTATTACAAAAAATACTACAACTGCGTTTTGTTTATGTTTTTGCATTCTCTTGACTCTTTACCACCAGCACAACAACAACAATAACACAAACCACAAAGTCAATGGGGTGAGAAACCATCAAATGATAACAAACAACAGAGAAATGCACTGAGAAACAGAGAGATCCTCACTTGAGTCACTTGCTCTCTATCTCTCCCTCTCACTGCAGTGCATTATCTCTGCAATTATTGGAAAAACGCATTACTTGTTGTTTTTGTTGTTGTGAAGTAGTTTGTTTTCGTTTTGTTTCTTCGTCTTCCTTCGGTTTCATAACAACTCACAGTGAGAGCAAGAG